TAGAGCATAGGCCGGTGGACTGAGGGGTCCCGGGTTCGACTCCGGTCAAGGGCACGTACCTCAATTGCAGGCTTGATGCCAATCGATGTGTCTCTCCCACATCAGTGTTTCTCTCTGTCTCTCCCTCCCCCTCCCACTCTCTCTAAAGATCAATGAAAAAATATTCTTGGGCGAGGATTAAAAACAACAACAAAAATGTAAGTGTGATTATTTGAGTGACTTTTCAGGACCTGGTCATTTAAACTTGTCGGAGAAAAGAGCTTCTCTTCTTTGTGTTTTGGGGATGGTCTGCTGCCCACCTCTCATTGTCTGCACTTCGGTAAAGCTGATGGCAGGCATTCGGGGGGCTGGGGGTGTGTGGCGCCCTGAGCCTGGCGGGAAGGAGGGCATGGATCCGGTCTGGCCTGCAGCCCCCAGCGACCGTCTGTAGTAGGCAGAATGCTGATGCTGGCCTCCCACCATGTCCGTGACCTGGTAGGACTGGAACTGGTAAACACGTTACCTTACATGGCCAAGGGGCTCTAAACATGTGACTAAAGGAGCTTGTAATGGGGAGATTATTCTGAATTATTTCGGTGGGCCCAGTGTAATCGCAGGAGCTTTGTAAGATACAGAGCTAGAGTGTGCTTTGAAGTATGGGAACAGTGGGTACCGTGCTTATCAGTTCATTGCTTACATGTTTTCCCAACTCCCACACATTCTGCAAACTGTCCTCCTGCCGACTGGTTCCTTGAAAGTAAAGTGCGCTTGCACCCTATGGGCGTGTTCTGAGCCCTTGAACAAATGCGTGAAAGATGTCCCCAGAGCGCAATGAAAAAGACCATTCCTGTTTCACTGGTGTGCGTGCTGATGGCCACACACCTGGGCAGTGCAGGTCCGTGGTTACTGTTAGCTCACTCATTCTTTTTAAAAAAAAAAATACATTTTTTATTGATTTTTTTTACAGAGAGGAAGGGAGAGGGATAAAGAGAAGCATTGATGGGAGAGAAACATCAATCAGCTGCCTCCTGCACACCTCCTGCTGGGGATGTGCCCACAACCAAGGTACATGCCCTTGACCGGAATCGAACCTGGGACCTTTCAGTCTGCAGGCCGATGCTCTATCCACTGAGCTACACCGGTCAGGGCAGCTCACTCATTCTTTACAGTCGAGCAGAGACTAGGAGCCTGCTCTGATAAATGGCTAGATGCCTTCAATGAAGGGTGGTTTGCTGCACACAATGGAAGATTCCAACACGACAGAAAGTGCCGCTGACAAAGAGTTCACGGACCTGGAGGAACACACAAATGGAGGAAACCAGTGTGTGAAAGTGCTCGCAGTGTGGCAGCAGCTGGGGACATAGCAGGAAGCAGGAGAGAAAAGAGGCGAAAGTTGGAACCCGGGGCTTCTGGTCTAAAGGAGACTTCACCTCCTCTCCCTGGCACGTCTCTGTCCGGCTCCTTTACATTAAATGGAGGATATGGAGAAGGGAGCTTTGCATCCGGGACCCCGTAGATTACCTCTGGGAATCTTTTGAGAAAAGCAATTATCAATACAGATTACCAGCTTTTTTCTGTTTCTCTCTCTCTTTTAAAAATACATTTCATTGATTTTTTTACAGAGAGGAAGGGAGAGGGATAGAGAGTTAGAAACATTGATCAGCTGCCGCCTGAACACCCTCCACTGGGGATGTGCCCGCAACCAAGGTCCATGCCCTTGACTGGAATCGAACCTGGGACCCTTCAGTACAAGGCCGATGCTCTATCCACTGAGCCACACCGGTTTCAGCTCTCTTGGGTAGACACTGGGCATGGCACCGCGGGGCCGTATGGGAACTCTGCGTGTGCCTTTTAGGACATTGCCGAGCTGACTGGCACAGCCGCTCTCATGAGCATGCATCCCGGTGGGGATGAGAAAAGAGCGTGGCTGACAGCTAGGACGGTGCTTAGCCAAATTGTCAGCCCTGCAGCGGACTGTGTGCGAACAGAAGTTGTTTCTACCCCTACACTGACTCCTAGCCTTACCCGGGCTGGCGGGTCCACTGCCCAGGTGGCTCACTCCTGCGGCTGTCGGTGCTGGCTGTTGGCAGGAGGCCTCGGCCCTTCTCCACGTGCGCCCCTGGCATGCTGCAGGGGCGTCCCCACAGCCCGGAGCTGGTTCCCCCAGAGCCAGCGATCCAGGAGGACCAGGGGCACCAGGTGTCTTACGATGTCACCCCGGAGGCCACACCCTGTCCCTTCCACACTGGCCTGCTGGTGGCACAAGTCAGCTCTGATCAGCGAGGGCGGGGGCCACCAGGACCCGGGCACCAGGAGGCACAGGGCATGGGGAGCACCTTAGCGCTGGCTGCCTGGGCGCTGCTGCGGGCACTGCCCAGTGCAGTGGCTGTGCCCCTGGAGCGGCTTTGTGCTCCTCCTTGCTGTCGGCCGCCCCCGCCGTCCAGTTCACACTCTGTCCAGAGAGCCAGGTACCCCCGCACTGTCCACGCCGCCGTCAGCAGAGTGAATGGCCGCAGTGTGGGCCCTGAGGGCTGATGAGACCAGCAGCGGGACTTGGTCGGTTTCTGTGGGCCCACAGGCGACGGCTTGCTCCGAGGAGCTGATTCTGTGGGTGCTCATGCCAGCTCCGTGCGTGGCTTAGGGGGGAGCGGAATCAGCGATGTGGGTTGGATAGCAGCCAGAGTAAGTCACCAAAGTGGTGGAGGGATCAGTTTGTTGATTTTTGGAGCAAGGAGTATAGAAGTGTTATTATAATTACCCGCATTGGTTACTGGACAGAAAATGGAAAAATATGAGCTTACAAGAGTTTTATAACAATTCTGAACTGTAAAGCGAGTGAGCTGGGCTCAGCAGTGCTATGAGGTCAGGTCTCACACCTGCTTGCTGATTGGGGAGATCCTAAATGTAAATGTGAGATCCTGAGTGAGATCCTATATGTAAATGTGAGATCCTGAGTGAGATCCTATATGTAAATGAGAGATCCTGAGTGAGATCCCGTATGTAAATGTGAGATCCTGAGTGAGATCCTATATGTAAATGAGAGATCCTGAGTGAGATCCCGTATGTAAATGTGAGATCCTGAGTGAGATCTTATATGTAAATGTGATCCTGAGTGAGATCCTATATGTAAATGTGATCCTGAGTGAGATCCTGTATGTAAATGTGATCCTGAGTGAGATCCCGTATGTAAATGTGAGATCCTGAGTGAGATCCTATATGTAAATGTGATCCTGAGTGAGATCCTATATGTAAATGTGATCCTGAGTGAGATCCTATATGTAAATGAGAGATCCTGAGTGAGATCCCGTATGTAAATGTGAGATCCTGAGTGAGATCCTATATGTAAATGTGATCCTGAGTGAGATCCTATATGTAAATGTGAGATCCTGAGTGAGATCCTGTATGTAAATGTGAGATCCTGAGTGAGATCCCGTATGTAAATGTGAGAGCCTATATGTAAATGTGAGATCCTATATGTAAATGTGAGATCCCGTATGTAAATGTGAGATCCTGAGTGAGATCCCGTATGTAAATGTGAGAGCCTATATGTAAATGTGAGAGCCTATATGTAAATGTGAGAGCCTATATGTAAATGTGCTTAGATGCGCCTGCGCTTGGGCATCTCCCTCTGGCTTACGTGTGAGCCTAGCATAGCAGAGATGTGCTCAGAACTCAGTGCATGTTAAAGTAGCCTTGTTTGGGGGCGGTCTGGTCCATTCAGGACTTGAATCACACTGAGAGCCCTGCTGTTACCTGCTCGACCTGGAACCAGCCACAGACACACCATTGCCGGCCCACGAGGGAGGCGTGCCGTGGACGCTTGTGGGAGGGGCCCGCATGCAATGCTCTTGCAGTGGGGTCCTGAGTGCCTGGTCTTTGGGAGGATGTCGGCGGCACATTGTAACTGCCGTGTATTTGTCTTGACGTAGACTCCAATTTCTGAAAACCACGCGTTCAGAAAGCCATTCCGATCAGGGCCGTGCTGCCGGTGTTCAGCAGTTTCTAAATGTTCCTGGGAGAGACGAAGCCTCGTCGTCGAACCAGTTTGGGGGAATAACGTGTTCAAAACTCGCCGCGGCCTTGTGGCTTTGGCCGTCTTTCCCGGGGCAGGGACGTGAGCAGAGCGTGTGGGAGGACTCGGTGGTGAGATTTAGGTTATCGGCTTCCCATGCGTGCCAGGCGGCGTGCATTATACCGACTGCGAGCAGGTAGCTGCCCGACTCAGACAATTATAGGCGTGGCCGCTTTCTCCAAGAGCCGTCTTGTCAATCAGTGTGATCGCGGCGTGTGGGACCGGGAGGGGGTTCTCCTTATAAAAAGCCCATCTGGAAATCTCTCTGTGTCAAACGTGGTTTGTAACCAGCCTCCCTTCAAGGAGAGAGGTCTGCGGACAATGTGCTTTTGTTGCTTTCCTCCAGAAAACCAAAGGCGTCTTTGCTACCCTGGTTCCCACTGCATCGGGCGCCCGGGCAGTGTTCGGTGGGCATCTCCTCCGATGGTTACGATGCCCGCTTAGACTTTGGCATTTGGTCAGTAGTTAATGTTTAACTCCTTAGCTTAGGACCGCGGGTCATAGGAGGAATCCATTTGGGTGGATGGAAGCTGAAATGGATGGACAGCGGGGGGGAGGGAGGAGGCAGCTCGCAGGGAAGGAGAACAAAGCGGAGCCGCCGACCTGCTGTGGACGAGCCGAGCCGCATTCTGCTGTCATCACCTCATTAAGCACGCTGCTTGGGAGAAGATGCTTGTCTTACCTGTTCTGTAACTTTCAATATCTGTTTCCCTGCTACTTAGAGTTGCACTTTGAGATAATAATGCTTTTAACCATGAGTGTACTGATGTTGTCAACGATTATTGCTTAGGCGAAGCGGTGATTTCATTTTCCAACCCAAAGTTGGGGCCGAACCGGTCAATTAGAGAATTCATAATTATGCATTAAAACCTGATTCTGGAGTTGATTTGGCAAACGCACACGGACTTGGCCTGCTTCTGAAGTTTGCGTTTCTCCTTTTGTCTTGCAGGATAACAAAGCCCCTGACCTTCGCCGATTGTGTCGGGGACGAACTTCCCTTAGGATGGGAGACGGTGTATGACAAACAAATTGGGATCTATTACATGGACCACATAAACAGTAAGTAGAGCGCCACGTTGGAGGCGTTATGTGTGAAGGGGTTTCCATGGTGACCGCGAGGACACTAACGACTTTTTTAGAGCAAAACCATCTTTACTGTCCGGCGCAGCATTCAACTGGGTCTGAGACACGGAAGCTGAAGTTTTCATTAGTCGAATTCTTAAAAAAGTGAAGCAGTTACGTAGCTACGTGCCCGTATGCTGCTCGGGACTGCGTGCATACGTTAATGGAGGGTTTAATTTCTAACATAAGGCATACATTTCCCAGGCCGTGTGGAACTAGAATATCTCTCACAACGAGAAGGTTGGTTATGGCCAAGTGGAGCTTACAGCTTACATGTTATTCGTACAATTAACTGCCCACCTGGTTTCCTTAACTTCCTTTTGGCTTATATGTTTAATTTGAATACACCAACCCTTTTTGGTCTCTGTGTCAAGACTCTGCTAAAATGGTGGGCCTTGACCACATCAGCCTTTTTAAATTTTTATTTTATTGATTTTTTACAGAGAGGAAGGGAGAGGGATAGAGAGTTAGGAACATTGATGAGAGAGAAACATGGACCAGCTGCCTCCTGCACACCCCCCCACTGGGGATGTGCCCGCAACCAAGGTACATGCCCTTGACCGGAATCGAACCCGGGACCCTTCAGTCCACAGGCCGATGCTCTAGCCACTGAGCAACACCGGCCAGGGCCACATCAGCCTTTTTTTATAGAACTGTCCAGAGCAGTGGTTCTCACCGGGGCTGATTTGGCCTCCCAGGAACACTGGGTCATTGGTAATACTGGATTGTCACGCATAACACAGGTGGGCAAAGGCCAGCGCGCTGCTAACCCTCCTGCAGGGCACAGAACGGCCCCAAGAGAATGAGCCCACCCCAAATGTCATGGGCCCCGTTTCATTCTAGACCTGCTCCACCCTCTCTGCCTCTCCCTCTCCTTCCTCCATGGGGAGTCACTGGGGACCCAGGTCCCTCTTAGGTCCCCACTTTCTCATTCTGGTGTTTCTGTCATGGTCATTTTTTACTGCCGGGGGACATGGCTTTTCCACGCGTGTTTCTGTCCTCTGGTTTGTTAACTGCGGGGCAGGCTGGGAGCGCCCAAGGGTGCAGCATGCCGCCACAGGAGACTGAAGCGCCTGCCTCTCTCTGGTCCCCTGTCCCCGCCTGTCCCCGTAGTGTGATTGCCCGAGGTGGTGCCTTCAGGATCGATTCCTTGTCCACTCACCTCCCGATGGCAAACCTGATTGGCAGCCATGTCGTTCAGAGAGTGGTCCCCACCAGATATTGCATCTGAAGGTCAACTGTAATTGGAAAATAAGAAACAAAACCCAGATGCAGTTTAGATACACAGCGCTGGCGGAGGGTAGCAGTGCTGCCAGTCCGCTGGGGCTCAGATGGCTAAACAGGAAAGAAACAAGCTCACTTAGCACCTCAAACGCGCAGGGTGCTCCTGTGCGTGCTGTTTATTCAGAGTGTGCATAGAGATGGTCTAACCCAGTGGTCGGCAAACTGCGGCTTGCGAGCCACATGCGGCTCTTTGGCCCCTTGAGTGTGGCTCTTCCATAAAATACCACGTGTGGGCACACACATACAGAGCAATCGAAACTGCATGGCCCACGCACAGAAGTCGGTTTTCTACTCTCAAAAGAAATTTCAATCGTCATACTGCTGATATTCGGCTCTGTTGACTAATGAGTTTGCCGACCACTGGTCTAACCTAGAATTACTAGTTCACTCAATCCCTTCGATTACAATGGAAGAAAATGAGTTCTAGAGGTTACATCAATCTGAAATGCACATTTTCAATAAACAGTTGTTTTTTTAAATCGTTATTTTCTCTTTCCCTTTTATGTTTGCCCTAATTCTACTTATTGAAATTTAATTTTATGTTCAGATAGTAAAAAACTTGAACTTAAAAAAAAAAAAGAAAAAGAAATCCGACGGGCCAGGCTTCTGTGTCAGTCCCGGGCAGTGGAGTCTGAGGCCTGGCGCTCGGCCTGGCTCTCTAGTGTGGCTCTCACCCAGAGATCGGGCACCCGGGCACCCGGGAGAGGCCCGGCCCGGCCCGGCCTCCAGGCAGGTATCTGGGTGGCAAGAGGGCTTCTAGGCGGATTGATCACCTTGGCTGACCCGGTACCTGGAGTCTGTGTGTGTTTGGGGTGTCTGAGCTTGCTTTTCCAGGTGCTGCTGGGAGCTCCCACAGGGGGGGGGCAGTTCCCACAGGGGAGGGCCCCTCCCACAGGTGAAGGCAGCTCCCACAGGGGAGGGCCGTTCCCACAGGTGAGGGCCATTCCCACAGGGGAGAGCCACGCCCACAGGGGAGAGCCACGCCCACAGGGGAGGGCCACGCCCCCAGGTGAGGGCTGTTCCCACAGGGGAGGGCCACTCCCCCAGGGGAGGGCAGTTCCCACAGGGGAAGGCCACGCCCAGAGGCCAGGGCTGCTGGGCCAGGCCTCTGTGCTCTGGGCCTGCGCACAGCAGGCCTCACCCGCAGGCCCTGGCCTCCCGGGGCCGGCGGTATGACTGAACAGCATAGGCATCTGCCTTACACAATCCTTCTGGAAAGCCTGCCTGCCTGCCACTGGGGCCGGGACCTGTTCTGGCTCGCCTCCTGTAAACTCAGCCTGCTCATTCCTCCTGCCCCGGCCGGGCCGGCGGCTGGCCTGCTGCTGAGTCACAGCAGGTGTCAGCGCGCGTCTCTGTGCGGCCACTCTTCAGGCCCCTGGGACGGGAAAGTGAGGCCCAGTCTCCACCCGCAGGGACGCCACGGGACACTCTAGCCATTAGGACTTTCTGATGGCCTCCTTGAGCGCAGCTGGGATGAGCCAGCACCCCCTCTTCCCTTTGGGACCTTCAGAGAACCTCCCCACCCCCAGGAACAAGAAAGGTTATTGTTGTAATAATTTGTACCTAAGGACCAGATCCCGCTCAGAACACTTGCTTCTGAGAAACCAGCTCTTCCTTTGAAATGAATTTATTTTTCTTGATTTCAGAGAGGAAGGGAAAAGGAGAGAGAGAAACATCAGCGATGAGAGAGAAACATGGATTGGCTGCCTCCTGCATACCCCACACTGGGGATGGAGCCTGCAACCCGGGCCTGTGCCCTTGACTGGCAATCGAACCGTGACCTTCTGGTTCATAGGTCCACGCTCAATCACTGAGCCACGCCGGCTGGGATTCTGCGTATTTCTTTAGGATTTGGGTGGAGGATTTGATCAGCCTTTCTCTCCTATGAACACTCTCCTGTTGTCTTTTGCCTGTGAGCAGCCTGCATGTATGTATCAATATGCCAGCCTTGTAACAGAGCCGCCGTAGTCTGGGAACTGGGAATGTGGACACCGTTTCCCACTTCTTACTTACTTACTTCTTACTTCCACTAGGGAGAGTCATTGCATGAAGAGAGCTAGCCTTTCCCGAGTCTGGGTGTCTTGTCCATTTGCTCAGCCTGCCCGCTCAGTCTCAGGATCTGCCGCCGGGACCGTGTTCCTCTGTCCTCGGAGCAGACCACCCCTCCTGTTCCTCATTCAACAATCGGGTTTCAGACCGATGGAGGGTCCTGAGAATGTGCAGATGGCTGACGCTGCGTGCCTGCCTTCTGGGGCCTGTGCTTTACGTGGGAAACAAAAATATAGAGAAACAATTATGTGCTCAGTGTGGGAGCCGCAGTCCCAGCCACTGCATAGGGACGTATGTGCTCTGAGAGGCAGGGAAGGCTTCAGAAAAAGGTGTCTCTGCAAAGGGACTTGGAAGGGAACAGGGTTTCCTGGTGGGCAGAGCAGGGGCGGCATGATCAAATGCAAAGGTGTCATGGTTTGGTTGGGTTTCCATTTGGGGAACAAAAGGGCGCTTCCTGAGAATGGGCTCTGCTTCGGGTGAAGGACTGAGTTCCTTAGGCGCTGTCCTGGCGGAGAAGCAAAGATGGGCGCTTGCAGGGAGAGAAGGCAGATGGGAAGTGGGGACTGGTGGGCGGGAGGAGACAGCACGTCCATGGGGAATGCAGGGCTGCGCTGTCTGGTGCAGGAGGGGGAGGGGAGAGGCAGGTCAGGGCAGCAGAGCCGAGGCATCTTAGTGGAGGTTGGTGAGCGGAGGACTGGAAGTCTGTGAGCTTGACCGTCATGAGTTCATTTGGCTCATCTCTGCCAACATTTCACCACAATGTGAAACTGGTCTGGGATTGTCTCCCCTGTCCAATGAGCAGCTTCACGCCTGTGTAGTTTTCTCCTCGTTTTAACTGTGCATATAAACATAAAAGGTGTGCGCCCACCAGATGGCTCACTGATTGAGCATGGACTCATGAACTAGGAAGTCAGGGTTCGATTCCGATCAGAGCACAGGCCCGGGTTGCAGGCACATCCCCAGTAGGGGGCATGCAGGAGGCAGCTGATCCATGATTCTCTCTCATTGATGTTTCTATCTCTTCCTCTCTGAAATAAATAAAAAATATATATTAAAAAATAAAAATAGAAGATGTTCCACACTGTAGGAAGGTTTGTTATGTAGACTTCATAGCATGCGTCCTTGTCATTCATTTTCTTTCTTTTTTAAAATATATATTTTTGATTTTAGAGAGAGGAAGGGAGAGGGAGAGAGAGATTGAAACATCAATGATAAGAGAGAATTATTGATTGGCTGCCTCCTGCACGCCCCCTACTGGGGATTGAGCCCCCAACCCGGGCATGTGCTCTTGACTGGAATCGAACCCAGGACCCTTCAGTCCACAGACTGACGCTCTACCCACTGAGCCACACCCGATAGGGCCTGGCCATTCATTTTCGAGCTCACTAGTGCCATAGCCGCCCGACTGTCGGCCAGCCTAGAGGTGTGACTGTGGAGTCCCTGGCATTCTTTCTGTGGTGTCTGTGTACCTCACTCGCGTCTTCTGCTTCTCATTTCAGAGCTCACCCAGATTGAGGACCCCAGAGAGCAGTGGCGGCGCGAGCAGGAGCGGATGTTGAAAGAATACTTGGTGGTAGCTCAGGAGGCTCTCAATGCCAAGAAGGAAATCTACCAGATCAAGCAGCAGCGGTTTGAGCTGGCACAGGAGGAGTTCCAGCATCTGCACAAAATGTGTGAGGACGACAGCCGCTCCTACGCCAGCTGTGAGTCCCCTGCCGCGTCCGCTTAGCACATGTGACTCTCAGAGCCATTTCTCCTGGGTCATCTGCACACGCCAGCCCTCACTGGGCCAGGCAGCTTCAGAGTTTCCACTCGTGTCTGTAGGTCACAGTGTGCTGCCCCGGAATCAGAGGGCCACCCGCTAGCCCAGTGGTCGGCAAACTCATGAGTCCACAGAGCCAAATATCAACAGCACAACGATTGACATTTCTTTGGAGAGCCACATTTTTGAAACTTAAACTTCTTCTAACGCCACTGCCTCAAAATAGACTCGCCGAGGCCGTGGTATTCTATGGAAGAGCCACATTTAAGGGGCCAAAGAGCCGCAGTTTGCCGACCACTGCGCTAGCCTCCCCTGTAGCAAACACCAAGTGCCTCACTGGTGCCCGGGCACTGCATACAGTGGCGCCAACAGGAAAGGCCCTGCCCGCATGGCGCTTACGTTCAGGCGGAGAAGAGGGGAATAAGCCAATCGCAGGCGGTGACACGAAGTAGCCTCGTGTTTGGGGCGTGGGAAAGGCCTCCTCGGAGACCGGTGCATTAGCTGTGTTGCTGAGCCTCGGGGAAGCCACCCAGGGTTCTGCTGCTCCCAGATGGAAAGATCGGGAACCTTCCCACGTGTCCAGTACCTATCTCTGTGGAGGGTCCTTTCTCGGGCCGCCGCCGAGGGTGGAGGGACTCAGTGTAACCAGGGAAGCGGGGCTCTCTGCCCCTCAAGCTAGCTGGACTCGCACTAGTGTCCATGGAGGGAGACCCTGTCAGCGTGGGAGGCTGCGGAGAGGCCCCGTTTCACTGTCAGTAGATCTTGGGTACTTGACGATCCAGGCCCAGCCTCAGAGGCAAGATGTTCTGATCTGACCCAGTCAGACCCTTCCCGGAGCTGCCACCTTGCCAGCCGCCACAGGCGCACGGCCCTGCTGGCCTGGGTGCCAGCGAGCCTGGGGAGAATGTCAGCGTTGGTAGCAGCAGCTTTTACCGTCTGGAAGCCGGAGTCTAGCTGACTCGTGGAAACACCTACTGGTTTCATGCCGGCCATAGTGCAGGCATTTGCTGTGGGGGCCCAGTGCTGAGCATTAGGACCCGGCCAAAGCTTTTATCTATAACAGAGCTAGGGCTGAGGGTCTTTCTCCCCGTGGCTGCAGTGGAAGGTATGCAAACCGCAGGAGAGAGAGGTGGGGCTCCCCCCTTCCCCCCCCCCCCCCCCCGGAACAGGATTTAATGTGGTCTCTGAGAATGCGGGGCCTCCCGTCTAATGGCATGTTGTTGCCAGGCTGTTTTCTCTCATTCTTCAGATATTCGCATGTCCTAGATGTCTTTTTTTTTTTTGTTAACTGCCCATCAGAATGCAGTGAGTCACCTTCATGCCAGCTCTCAGAGGCTGGGCTCTTTGTAAACCTCTGTCGGTTTTTCTTTTCTTGTCATGTCTCTTTCTCGGATTTGGGTATCAGGATAACACTGTCCTCCCAGAATGAATGGGGAAGCGTTCCCTCGGCCCCGCTCTCAGAAAGAGCTTGTGCGGGGCTGGCATTAGTGCCTCCTGAGCCATGGGATGGAATTCACCAGAAAAGCCGCCAGGGCCCGGCATTCTTTGTGAGAATGCTGCGAGCACAAAACCGGTACCTTTGCGGGGTCCGGGTCTGTTCAGATTTTTCTGCTTCTTCCTGAAGCAATTCCAGTGTTTGTGTGCTTCAAGGAATATGTCTGTTTATCTCAGCTGCCCGACAGTAAGCGCTGCTCCGAAGGGTCAGAGAGGAAATATGTTCGCCTCCATGGGCCGCGTGGTCTCAGTGGCCACTGCTCAACCTGTTGTCCCGCTGCGGGAGCGGCCGAGACCACGTGTGTGGCTGGTTCTGAGAAAAGCTTAAAAAACAGGTAAAGAGCTGGAATCAGCCTCCAGGGAATTAGTCAAGTTTGTCAAGTTTTCGCAAAGCTCCCTTATAATTCTTCTAATTCCTGCGGGCCCCGAGGTGGGGTCCTCTCTCGTTCATTCCTGATATTTATCATTCGTGCCTGCTTTTTTCTCTCAGTCAGTGTAGCTATGCTTTTATCAGCTCTATTTATCTTTGCGATGAACTGGCTTTTGGGTTGCCTCCCGCCTCCCCCCATTTCTTGTCTATTTTCCTTTTTTTTTTTTTTTTTTGGCTTTCTTTTCTTTCTTATTTTCTTCCTGCTACTTAGTTTGGCTTTAATTTATTCTTCCTTTTTCTAGCTTCCTAAAGTGAAAACGTGGGTCATTGATTTCAGACCTTCCTGATTTTCTCACGCGGCCTCTGAGGGTAGAGATTCCCCTCTAAGTATCATATCACTTTACCCGCAGTCCTCACAGTCTGGCCTTTGCCTTTTCAGCCAGTTCAGGATATTTCCCCATTTCCTTTGACCCCCGGGTTCTGTGACAGTCAGTTGCTGGGGCTTTTGAAAATGTCACGGTGTTGATTTCTAATTTAATTCCATTGGGGTCAGAGATGGCACTATGTAAGATTTCAGTTTTTTGAGATCTTGTACAATAAGATGACTTTGATGGCCCAGCATCTGGTCCCCTTGAACTGATCCCATAGGATGGCAGCCATCGCCTCGGTGCCTCGAAGTCGCATGTGGTGGAAGTGCTGGCTTTTCGTGTTTCTGAGAACACTGAGTTAGCGATTCTCAACCTTTCAGAAAGTTGCTTGGTAGAAGCTAGGTTGACCCGTATAAAATGGTCATTTCTGTCGCTTCAAGAGGGCTGAATATTGGTCATTTCCTATGATTCAGCCCAATAATTTCTTCCATTTAGTACCTCACCTCACAAGGTCTCCAAAGAGACTCTCCAGTCGTGTTTCCCAGAATGCTGGGGAGAGAAGGAGGAGCAGGACAAGTTAGAGGGAAGTTTTGGCCGGTGATTGGAAGGACCACTTGCCCGGGGGAGACGGTGTGTCTTACCTGGGGGCTCCTATTCCAGTGCAGCCAGCGTGCTTGGGGCTCAGGACTGGAGCCCTTGCGAGTGCAAATGGAGGAGGACCTATCGCAGCTCGCAGATTGCACACCCAGCGCAGGGAGCGAGGGAGGAGCCTGCCCAGCCTCGTGGGTACCGAGAGGATTAGGGCCTGGTTCAGAGCCTGTGGTCCTGTGGAGCAGGGACATCCCTCAGCAGCCAGTTTTCATCCATCCATCCATCCATCCATCCATCCATCCATCCATTTATAGAGAGTTAGAAACATCAATGAGAGAGAAACATCGATCAGCTGCCTCCTGCACACCCCCTCGTGGGGATGTGCCCGCAACCAAGGTCCATGCCCTTGACCGGAATCGAACCCGGGACCCTTCAGTCTGCAGGCCGACGCTCTATCTACTGAGCCAAACTGGTCAGGGCAGCAGCCAGTTTTCGATTTCCAGGCTGTGCACTCCCTTCACACGGGGGACAATGGGGAGTCGCACTGGGTTCCCTCCTCCCCGTGCCCCAGGGCATTTGATGGATGCCCAGGAGAGAAGCAGCTCCGATGATGCCGGCTTCGAAGTGGCATCTGGAGGAACCTTCAGCAGAGGAAACGGATGACCGTGGGGTTGACTTGAAATTCTAACATGCCCCTCAGACTCGTTTCCCGACAACCTCCTCTAACGATGTCACCTAGAGAGGCCTGGCCCACGTCGGGAGCTGCTGGTAGAATCTGTAGCATCCAGGGCTGCAGTCGGCGCTCAGGCCTCCCAGCCCAGCTCGCGCTCAGAGCTAGTCGTTTAGAGCGGGGAGGGCTCCCTGCTCTGTCCTAGGATCAGAATGACACTTGGGCTCATTTCCCACGATTCCTTCATTGTTGGTAACTTGAAGCTCAGAGAAGCAATATTTAGCGACCCAGAGTGTTCTGGGCACGGCTGTGATAGCCACACTGTGAAGCACGCGGTGCTACCTCCATGGGACGCACGAGGAACTGAGTGTTGGAGAGGCTGAGCTACTTTTTCACGGCTACATGCCCAGTCAATGGTGGACTTGGATTTGAACCCAGGCCTGGCTTGCATGTAGCCTCAGTGCTCTGGACTCTTTCCTAGACATGGCAGGGGCAGCTCCCCCAGCCCGTGGGTTTTTGGAACCCCTTACCCTCCCGTTGCTCCAGTGATCTGCGAATAAACACCGGTTGTAAGCTGACAAGTCATCGGACTGTTTGGCAACACTGCATGGGGCAAGTGGAAGGCAGAGCACCTTCCGCTTTCTGACTTTCTCATGGCCCACGGGAGGACTGTAAACTAAAGATAGCACCCAGTGTTGGCGTACACAAATGGTGGGATTTATCCCTAATGGCTGATTTATCCCTTTTGGCTGATCATAGGGGGAATGAGGCCATGATGGCGAACGGAAGAATGAACTAGAACAGCCATTTCCAGGATTGGAGCAGCAGGGGAAAGAGGAGGGGGAAGGGGGGGCAGCGCATCTTGCCCACACTCTCACAGATGCCCCTGAGCGATGGGACTCACCGGAGCAAAACCCCATTCATTGGAGAGAAAAGATCCGGTGTTAATATTGTACCATCTGGTAACTAAGAACGTCTAGGTCATTTTTGCCCCTGACCAAAGCAGATGTAGGTGCTTTGCTGGAACAGAGATTTGAGCATGCATGTCCCCATAAGGCTGAAAGAACCTGATTTGTGTGGACCGGTGAGCTAGCGGTTTGGTACCCAGTCCCAGTACGTTTTCTGCAATTCCATTTTGTAGAGTTCTCTCCTGTCTTCATGCTAATATGTTCTATTTGCCTTCTTTTTAATGCTGAATACGTTCGTTATTTCAGAAACTTTTTTCCCCCTGGAGTTAACGTTTTCATTCATTCATTCTTCCTGAGAAACTCTGGCCTCCGGATGTGCTGAGTTGAAGTATCCGGCCATTTGCAGCATCTCTTGGAGGGGGTTCTTGCATGGGTAAATTATAGTCTGAACCACAGGTCAGCAAATTACGGATGGCCCGCAGGCTAAGTACTGTCCACTCAGGGGATTTGTTAATAAAGTTTTATTGGAACACAGCCACATCCATTCACTCACCTATCCTCTATAGCAGCTACGCGGGGAGAGTTGAGTTGAGACAGAGACTCTATGGCCCCCAAAGCCAGAAACACTCTGGCCCTTTGAAGGGGAAGTGCCGCAGTCCCAGGCTACCCCGGTGGCTCTCCACTCTGCCAGCTGCGCCGCCTCCCAGAGGCCCGTGAACGCTGCCCGCCTGGATGCAGATTTGGGTTGAGTTGGCCGTGAGGGGGGCAGACAGTGTTTATTCCCCAAGTGGTTCTGAGCGCTGAGACCACTGGCCTCGAAGGACTCTCAGCAGCGGGAACATGGCTGTCCATGTTACGCTGGCTCCAGGAGCTCCCAGAAGTCACCACGTCTCTTTGGGTGGCTGGGAAAGGGCCGCCTTATCTCTGTTGGGAAAGTGCTGATCCACCCTGAATTCCTGAGTTAGGTGGTGGTGAGGTTTGACCTTATCAGCCATCAGCGCTGCCAACATTCTTTCTGAAGCTCCAGGCCCTCCCACAGGACTATCTTCCCCGGTTCTCCCATCTGCTATCTAGATTAGGCCGTGGGCCAAAGTCCATCCATTTAGCCTTTTGTTTTCCCTCCCCGAGCATGTCGGAGCAGGCCGGAGAAAAATGGATCACACAGCGCTTTTCACAGGTATTAGCTGGCAAGAAGGTTGCGGCGGAGCACACGTGTTTACTGAGAGATAATCCCCGTCTGCCCTAGCCGGGATTCCTCCCTGCCATTTGGTGGCTGCTTGCTGCTTCCTCCCGCGGGTCTCCAGTGGGCTGGAGGTTTTTGATCCCGTGCTTATGGTGCCTTTTAAAAAATGTGGTGCCCTCCTTTGTGGGCCTGGTTATCGCAGCGCCGGTAATTAGTACCTGTCAGCATGGAGTCTGTCGGGGCCTGCCTCCTTTCCTCCGGCTCCCCGGCTCCCCGAGCACCCCCTCCATCAGAGCCTGGAGGCGCACCTGGGCTGGAGGAGCTGTCTGTCCGAGGATGTCTTTGAAGCAGGGCTACTGGGCTTTGAAAGCATTCCATCCGCCTGGGGTGTGACCTCCTCTTACCAGCGGGAGTAGGCCTGCGGGGAAGAGAGAGAGAGAGACAATCAGACAGACACACAGCTCCCCTTTCAGTACCCTGGGAAGGAAATGCACCATAAGGACTGCGCTCTGCAGCATTTTGAGTGTTAAAAACACAGGTCTGGTCCGCTTAAGGGCAATGGGTTCTGGGGAGCCGAAGGGCCATTCCCTCCTTCGCTGGCAAAGCTAATCTGATTAAGGGATGTTGGACAGCTGACCCGTAGCAGCCCAGGTTCCAGACACAAGCGCCTCTGTGACTTGATGGCATAATGCAGATCAAGTCACTGCAAACGCAGTCTTTAATCTCTAAAGTGGGGGGCATAATCATCATCGCTCACAAAGATTTTTATGAGAATAGATGAAATAAGTGTGAAAGGCACCCTATAATAGCAAGGTACAATCATTTACATTGTTGTGGTGCAATTCAACTAAGACCTGGTGATTATACCATCCAAAACAATGTGTAGACCTGAGTGGACTCCTTAAGCTATTTAATAGCTCTGCCCACTCAGCTCGTCAAGAGAGAAAAAAGCTTCAGAGGTGAAAGTCTGGTATTTATCGTAAAACCCGAGATTGCAGACATGTCTTAACAGAGGAAGGTAGCTCTCTTTCTAAATGATGTACAGCGCGTGCTGTTACAGATGGGGGCTGGAGCCCTGAGCTATTTCTTGGACTCCAGAAACGGATTCCATTAGACTTCCTGGCAGACACAAGGAACTGGGAATTTGTAGAAATTGAATTATATTCTTAAAAGCTACGCCAGCGTTTGCAACTCCCCTTAGCGTTTGAAGATAAGGTGTACTCACCGTCTCAGGCACCTGAGTGGACTTTTCCCTCATCCCTGCCTGGAATGTTATAATTTCAGAGGCTGTAGCAAAGGTAACACGAAGGCTATCAGTGTAAGTAAGACCGTGTGTGCCATTCAGGTGGTCTCGGCCGCAGCGCACAGGAAAGACGCATATCCATGGAGGACTACAAAGCAGTGCTCCATGTGGGTGGCTTCCTGCTGGTGGCTTCGGTGGCTCTGGGATGTCGTGTTTGCTCAGGCCCCACTCTGCTTCCAAGACCCAGTTTCCCCGGGTCTCCTGAGAGACAGCGGCACCTGACAGTGGCAGGGAGCTGGGAGCTGGGAATAAAGGGGGCCGGTTGCCATGTATTTGTCCGATTGTCCCTGCTCCCCCTCCCAAGTGCACTTCAAGTTTTGTAGCCACGGGCTGCAAGCGTGGGCACTGGGTGAACTTGGTTAACTTCCCTAGACTTGGGGGTGGGCTTGCTTCTCCCCCAGCGGGGGCGATCCGGGTGGCGCCTGTCGGCACGCTGTCCCTCACACGAAGGTGACAAGCTGACACGGGGAAGTGGGGAGTCAGCAAGGCCTCGGCCCGTGTGCATGTTCTCCGGGTCCCAGTGGGAGCCCCTTCAGCCAGGTCTGAGAAACAGGTCCCAGAAGCCGAACGGGGAGATGTCAGAGGAATGATTCATCGCTGATCCGCAGTGAAACCAGAGCCAGACAAGATAGAAGCTGCAGGATTTGGAAATAGACATTCTTCGTCTGAGAGAGAATTCCATTTTAAAAACATTTTACTCCATGTCTGGAGAGATTACGATTGGAAATATAAGAACATAAAATTGGCAAACACTTTGCTCCTGCTGATATTTATTTCCAGTGGATTCCAGTGGTTCAGCGTTCTGACTGACGGGGGCTTACATAGGAGGTTTGCCATAGAACTGTTGTTTTTATTTTAAAAAATACATATAAATTTTATTGATTTCAGAGAGGAAGGGAGAGGGAGAGAGAGAAACATCAGTGATGAGAGAATCATGGATCGGCTGCCTCCTGCACGCCCCACATTGGCATGAGCCCTGACTCAGAATCTAACCGTGACCTCCTGGTTCATAGGTTGACGCTCAACCACTGAGCCACACCGGCTGGACAGAACTGTGTGTGTGGGGGGGTGTTTTTAAAGGAGATATCAGCTGCTCAAATTCACTTTGAGTATTGTTGGGGCTAAGTAACCTTGCTGTGGAAGCCACTTGGTCTTGAGCCGTCCTTCCCAGTAGAAAGTCAGGACACGGTTTTGAACTAGTTTCTAGATGTGCGCTCCCAGTGATCTCAACGACAGTCTTCGGACCCCAGGTGGAAGGAGTGGCAGAAGGGTCACCGCCTGCAGATGGGCCTTCTGAGCAGGTGACAGTAAAGAGAATGACCCAAGGCAGATGACTCCCAGCACCCTGACCCTGCCAGGCGCCCCTCTCTCCCAGGAGACCCGGGGAAACTGGGTCTTGGAAGCAGAGCAGAGCCTGAGCAAACATGACATCTCGGAGCCACTGGAGCCACCAACAGGAAGCCACGCTCAGGGAGAGCTAGAAACCAAGTCACTGCACCCCCAAAGCTGACAGCTTCAGAGGCCTCAGAGCAAGGACACGGAAGCACAGGAACTAGCCGTGCACAGGGCGCCAGCGTGGGCAGTGCCGCTGGCTGCTCATGCGCAGGAAACGCTCGATGCTCGCTGCGCACCACGCACAGGTGACCACACCGTGCACAGTGACCAGCTCTGCGAGCCTCGCTCCCCCAGGGACCAGCTGCTTGTAGTGACGCCCTGTCTGTAGCCGGAGGTTAGAGCATGTGTCCTGGTCCGTTTAAGAACCCATGTTCCACCCTGGCCGGTTTGGCTCAGTGGATAGAGCGTCGGCCTGCGGACTGAAGGGTCCCGGGTTCGATTCTGGTCAAGGGCATGTACATTGATTGTGGGCACATCCCCAGTGTACAAAAAAAACATTTTGTTGCAGGAGGCAGCTGATGGATGTTTTGCTCTCATCAGTGTTTCTAGTTCTCTATCCCTCTCCATTCCTCTCTGTAAAAAAATCAATAAAATATATTAAAAAAAAAAAAGAGCCCATGACCCTGCGATACGCTGTAGCCAGACAGCCATCAGCAATGGGCTGCTGGAATACGGGGGGAGGGGGGGCTGGGGGGCTTCTCTGGAGTTCTGCGTAGCAGGCAGCCTGGAAGTGCGGCTTGCCCTCAGCCTGGCTGCGGTGCAGGCGCAGTGCTAGGAGCTGCCTTTCTCATTGTCTAGGTCTTGAGTGCATGCTCTCTCTCTTACGTCAACAATTGTTCATCTGGGGACTGCAGAGAGGACAAAAATAAAAAGAACATCTTTTGTATTGAAAGAACCACAGTTGACTTTTTGGCTCTATCCTCCCCAAGCCTCCTGTGTGTGCACATTTTTATTTATTTATTTATTTATTTATTTATTTATTTATTCATTTAAAAAAATATTTTTTATTGACTTCAGAGAGGAAGGGAGAGGGAGAGAGAGAGAAACATCAGTGATGAGAGAGAATCACTGATCCGCTGCCTCCTGCACGCCCCACACTGAGTATCGAGCCCGCGACCCTGGCCTGTTCCCTGATCAGGAATCGAACCTCGACCTCCTGGTTCCTAGGTCAATGCTCAACCACTGAGCCACACCGGCAAGGCCGTGTGGGCATTTTAAAGGAAAGTAAAAATGGTTCCCAGCCTGTGTGCTATTTGCCAGGAAGAGCCGTTTTCCATAATCACACCTTCCCCCCTTGGCGCGCTCGTGGCGGTGGAGCCTGGGTTTGCAGTGGCGGCGGTGCAGCTGCTTTACCTGTGGCATCTGGTTGTGCCACGGGCCCCGCAGGCAGGCCTCGGGCAGAGATCAGACACGCAGATGCAGGCGGGGAAGTGAGGATTCTTCAGAAGCCAGTACCAACATGTGAAGCTGAGACCTCATCATTTAACGTGGAGAATCAGGAGTTCCTGTCTGTGTGCATTTCTTTATTTGAAAAGATCCCTTATTAAATGCAATGTTTTCCTTCTGTTTAGCCTTCTCTGGATATTCAACGAATACAAAGTACGACCCACACCAGATTAAAGCAGAAATAGCCAGCCGCCGGGATAGGGTGAGTAACACGGTGCCCATATGTACTCCTACGCGCCATCGCTGATCATGGCTCATTTTCGGGTGGTCGGCGTGTCTGACACTCACATTTTACTAAGACTTTCCTTTCATGGGTTATTATTACATTTGCTTGTACTCTCCACTCTTTTCCAACAGGAGGGCCACTATTTCATTTTAAAACCGCAGCCCAGTCTAACAAAAAGTCACCCGGCCCCTCCTCCCACCACTTCAGCCCCTCGTCTTGCTGGTCTGGCGAGGGCTCCCTTTCGTTGCATTTGCATCAGAACACGGGAGACACCTTGGAAATGAGGCCTCCTGTGGTGGTGTCTCAGAAACGCCCCTGGGAGCTGGTGAACCGTGCGAGCCCCCCTCCCCCGTCCCAGCTTTAACACAGGCCTGGAGCGGGGCCCAGAATCTGTTGAGTGAGCACCAGGCGAGGCGGGGAGGCCGCGCTCGCAGCTGCAGGGCCTCCTCTGTGGCTCTGCGGAGCAAGGACCAGGGAAGGTGGGCAAAGTGCTCCCCAGTTTGCTGACTGAGGACCAAGTCAGTGCCGTGAGGAGGAAAGTCAGTGTGCTTCCCGTGGGCAGGAAGTGCTAGGACTGGGATGTGAGGAATGCAGTTCTTCCAGTGCGGCTGTTTTATTTATTTTATTTTAATTATTTTAAAAATTATTTTTATTTATTTTTTTGCAGAGAGGAAGAGAGAGGGAGTGTTAGAAACATCGATGAGAGAGAGTCATCGATCAGCTGCCTCTTGCACACCCCCTACTGGGGATGTGCCCGCAACTAAGGTACATGCCCTTGACCGGAATCGAACCCTGGACCCTTCAGTCTGCAGGCCGACGCTCTATCCACTGAGCCAATCTGGTTTCGGCATTTTATTTTATTTTATTTTATTTTATTTTATTTTATTTTATCCTCACCCGAGGATATTTTTCCCATTGACTTTTAGAGAGTGGAAAAGAGAGAAAGACAGAGAGAAATACCAATGTGAGAGAAACACATCGATTGGCTGCCTTCTGCATGAGCCCTGACCAGGGTCCAGGCCAGGGACGACCCTGCAATTGAGGTACATGCCCTTGATGGGAATCGAACCCGGGACCTTTTGGTTCACAGGCTGATACTCTATCCACTGAACCAAACCGGCAAGGACTATTTTATTTTTTAAATGAAAAAATATTTTTATTGATTTCAGAGAGGAAGGGAGAGGGAGAGAGAGAAACACCAATGACGAGAGAGAAACATTGATCGGCTGCTTCCCGTACACCCTACCTACACTAGGGATGGAGCCCGCAGCCAGGCATGTGCCCTGAGAGGGAATCGAGCCGTGACCTCCTGGTTCATAGGTTGATGCTCAACCACTGAGCCACCCAGCATGCATGTGAATGGAAGCTCACGGAGAGAGTAGATGATCCCTGAATGGCAAACTAAGCAGAAATGTCAATGACAGCGATAACAACTGCAGAAATCCTTTTTCACAGCAAGTTTTGCAAAAACTGTTCTTTATCTTTAGCTTTCCAGATTGAAGCGAGAGCTGGCGCAGATGAAGCAGGAGCTGCAGTACAAAGAGAAGGGGGTGGAGACCCTGCAAGAGTGAGTTGCCCGCAGGGAAGGGACGGAGCCCGGGGTTTCCTTTCGTGCTGACCTCTCGGTGCCTGGGCATGAGTCCGAAAGCTTCCCAGGCTTCTGCTTCCAGGACTTTGTTTACGCTCATTACTTCCCGACCCCGAGCATAAGAGTGTCTGCCTTATAGACACTCTGTTCCTTTAAGGGGAACTCTTTGGAAACCAGACCGTTGTTTTATATTTGTTCACATTCTCCGTAGCTGCTGTACTCGCCAAGACTCACATGGCCGTTTAAATTGGAATTCCAAATTTGTCAGTTTCTATTTCTCCATTTTTTTTTTATTCTAAAAGTTCAAATTCAATTGAAATAGAATAATTCATCCCCAGCCCCAGTAGCCACATCCGAAATGCTCAGCAGTCACATGTGGCTAGTGTAGATCTCCCCACCTCGGCGCTGAGACTTTGGACCAAAGAGCTGTCTGGCAGGCGGTCCTGCGGACCAGAGGATGCTCAGCACCATCCCTGGCCTTGGTCCCGCCCACTTGTTGCAGCCAACAACGCCTCCACGCTTGGCCACGTGTTCCCCGGAGGCCCATTTGCCCCCAGTGGAGAACCACCGGGCTGGTGGCCATGGCCTTGGCCAGCACAGCGGATAGAATATTTCCATCGTCACAGACCATGCTATTGGGCGGTCTGGTCTGTAGATCTTCCTCGTGTTGGCATCTTCACGATGAAAACTTCATCCCCCCTAAGAGTCTGGGGATGAGTTTCTTACTTGTGAGCTGTGTGGAGTCAGCACCTGGAATGAACCAAAGTTATTTCCTAAACGGGGCTATTGCTGGTCTGGAAGAATCCGTTTTCTTAAGAAACGGTATGCTTGTTGGTCAAGAGTCATTCTCTCTCGCTCCAGAGCCTGGCTCCGCTTGCTGCACGTGGGCATGTGCTTTGTGCCTGCTGTTCTCACTGTCCCTGGGGATTGTTTTAGCCAGCTTGGCTGCTGCCACGAAACACCGCGGACGGGGCGGCTTAAGCAGCAGACATTGCCCTCGCACAGTGCTGGAGGCTGGAAGTCCAAGAGCAATGGAGCGGGCCAGTTCGGTACCTGGTGAGGACCTGCTTCTCGCTGTGTCTTCACGTGGCGGGGGTTCCGAGGGAGCTCTGGGCTCTGGTGTATCTTCCTTTTCCTATAAGGACCCTGACCCCGTATGGGGCTCCACTTCTCCCCACCTCATCTCAGGCTCATCACCACACACAGGCCCCATCTCCAAATACCATCCCCGGGCGGGGGGGCGGGGGGGAGCGGGGGAGAAAGATCACACGATTCAGTCCACAGCAACGCTCATCAGGCTGAATGGCCAGGAGGCAGCGCCAGCACACAGTCAGCCTTCAGCAGACGGCAGGAAGCGGCTGGCACTGTTCTCAGGGAGGTGGCAGATGCAGCGACGGTGGCACGTGTGACGGCAGTCTTGCCCTTTATGGAGGCACTGGGGAATGTGGGCGTTTGACGATGGCACTCTCAGCCTCACGTGCAGGGCGCTTAGCTGGCATGCCCGCCCGGGGCTCAGCACTAGCTGGAGCTCCGCTGTTGAAGCAGCCGGATTGGTTTGGTGGGTTCATTTGACCATTTCTTGATTAAGGCCGCGTGCTAGGCACCGGGGAGACACAGCGGCAAAAGTGAGCTGCAGCCTGCCCAGAGGGCTTGCTTTGTGTGGCACTCCTACCCTCCCTGCCCCTGCAGGCCCCTCCAGGCGGTGGATTTCGGTGCTGCTTGGCGTGAACTGAGTCTTACCCTTTGGCCAGCCCTTGCTTTCTGCACCATTACCTGGCAGTGTGTGTGTGTGTGTGTATGTGTGTGTGTGCATGTGTGTGCGCGCGCGCTCATCCTCCGGCGATTTGGCCCTCAGTGGGGCTTCCTTTAATTAGCCCTCGTCCCTCAGCTTCTACAAAAGTTGTTCTTAAGCCGATCAGGCTGCTCTGCAGTCTGGGCCACTGGCTTTGTTGCTCATTTCCTGCATTCGCAGCCTTGATCACGCACACAGCGAGCTCCGCGACGTTCCCCGCACATCCCAGCGCCGCCAGAGCTCAGACGCCTGCGAGGAGCTTCTGTGCGCGGTGCCTGCGCCCTTCTGGCCACGTCTGCTAAGGGGCTGGGTAATAAATAGCAGAAGCCTGCATGGTTGCTCACTGGCTAGAGCAGTGGTCGGCCAATTGCGGCTCGAGAGCCACATGCGGCTCTTTGGCCCCTTGAGTGTGGCTCTTCCACAAAATACCACGGCCTGGGCGAGTCTGTGTTGAAGAAGTGGCGTCAGAAGAGGTTTAAGTTGAAAACTGTGGCTCTCCAAAGAGATGTCAGTCATTGTCCTGTTGATATTTGGCTCTGCTGACTAATGAGTTTGCCGGCCACTGGGTAGAGCATTGGCCTGCGCACCCAATGGTCGCGGGTTTGAGTCCCAGTGAGGGGCAAGTACCTCTGTTGCAGGTTTGATCCCTGCCCCAGTCAGGCTGTGTGCCAGAGGCAACCAGTCGATGTTTCTTTCTCACATCAGTGCTTCTCTCTTTCCCTGTCCCTCCTCCTTCCCTTCTACTCTCTCTAAAAATCAACGGAAAAATTATCTTCAGGTGAGGATTTTTTAAAATGAGGAGGGGGCCGGATAAGAAATGAGCAGAGCCCCGGCCGGTTTTGCTCAGCAATTAGAGTGCTGGCCCGGGACTGAAGGGTCATGGGTTCAATTCCTGGTCAAGGGCACAGACCTGGGTTGGAGGTTCACTCCTCTGCCTCCAGGCACGTGCGGGAGGCAGCCAGTCGATGTGTCTCTCTCACATTGATATTCTCTCTCTCTCTCTCCCTCCCTCCCTCCGCTCTCCCTCTCTTCTCCTCTCTCTCTAAAGATCATTGGAAAAAATACCCTCCGGTGGGGATTACAAAAATAAAAACGCAGGAGAAGTTAGCAGAGAAATACATGCGCTCGGTGGGGCCTCAGAGGTTGTCAGGACTGACCTGGCTAATTGAGGCTGCTTTCCTGCCGCCCTGCTGCTCTCTCACCACCAGGGAGACTCCCGCTTCACTCACGGTGTCCCTGGGTCCTCCAGCTTCTCCGCTGGGCCCTGTGCGGCTGTGGGGGTGACTGGCCCGGGCTCCGAGGGGCACAGGCCCCCTGAGCTCAGAAAGGAGTCCGCCGGCACCTTCCCTGGGCTCTCCTCCCACAGCTGGATGGCCAGGCCTGTGCCTTAGCCTGGTCGCCATCCCTCTGGCCGCCATCCCTCTGGCCGCCTCCATTCCCTTATTTGAAGACAGAGCCTATATTCCCACCTCAGCTTCAGAGCGAAGACTCTAGAACACCAATTTCAGCCGGTGTGCCGCAGGGTTCCTAAATCATGCAGCCCCTGGCCAGGGACACCCACCTCTCCCCCTGAGGCCGTCACGTAAGAAATGGCCACAGCAACACGACCATGGCCGCCCAGTGTGACTGAGTCACAGCGATGCCCGTCTCTTTGTCAGACCCACAAAGGCGCACTGCGTTTTGGTGTGCCAAGAGTTTCAGTGACCACTTTCTGTGCCATGCGACGGAAAGGTTGAAAATCGCTGCCCTGGAAAGTAGCCAGGGCCAGGGCTTAGTGACGAGAGCCCTCCCCTCGGCATTGCTGGGAAGCCGCCTCAGCACTTGTGCCGGCGCTTTAAGACCAGGAAAAGGCAGCCCCGCTCTCCCTGGGACCCTGGGACAGGAAGCGGGTGGGGTGGGGGGGTGTAACTTTACACCTGCAGGCAGCTCTGCACGGAGTGAGCAGTGCACTGTGTGCTGGATGCTGTGCAGGGGCCGGCTCTGCCTTTCCTTTCTCCTCTTCTCCTCTCTGGGTGGGACCCCATGTTTGGGAGCAGCCATGCACACAGGCCCCTGGCTGTGCAGGGGACAGTCCTCACTCCCCGCCAGAGCCTGGCGGAGGCCGAGGGGGGGCGGGGGAAACGTTCTGGACCCAGCCTCGGTCCTGGGACACCCAGCCCCGGTCCTGGGACACCCAGCCCCGGTCCTGGGACACCCAGCCCAGCTGTGCGGACGGAGCTGCCCTCCAGGCAGCGTGGATCGGAGTTGCGATGTCTCTGTGCATGTCCTCCCTCCTCTGACCGCGCAGGGAGGCGGGGAAACGTGGGCGCAGGCCTCGCTTAGCATCCTGAGCGCTACACGCCATCCGATCCCTTCCTGTGCAGCACAGGCTGCCCAGACCGAGGCGCCCGTTATGTCCTGGTGCTGAGCGTGGCTCATGTTTGGATGGAGGCCTGAGCCCGGGATGTTCACTGAGGGATTCTGAAGGCCTTCTGCAGGCATCGCTAAGGCGCTCAGCACAGCCCAGCGGCAGACGTGAGCGCCGGCACGGAGCCCACGCGCTGCGGTCCGCAGTGGGGCTTCTCGGAGACGAGTGCCAGCCCCGACTTGAGGCGGGGAGCCCGGGTTTTCCTCCCAGAAACGGGTGTGCTGCCCCGCTTCCCAGAATACCCATGTATTCTTTCCCAGAGCGCCTCGCCGGGAGCTTGGCCGTGCGGAACGCTTGCAGCGCGGCTTGTTTATCTTGGTGCGCTTTCCTGGCTCGCGAGAAAATCCATCATTACGCTCGGGTCCAAGGGAGGAAAAAAGAACCTTTTGTATTTTTTTTTTTTTTTTGAGTCTGTGTATGTTGTTAATTTTTGTAGATGGGAGCTGGCCATGAACGCAGTCTCTGGGTTATTGATAGAATGTGTGTGTGTGTGTGTGTGTGTAATATATATAAACTTTTAATGATGGAAAATGTCAAACACATACAAAAGGAGAGAGAAAACAGTGTAATGGACCCCCTCCTGCACCCCTCGGCCCACATCACCGGCCAACACAACGGCCCCTGTGTTTGGTCGCATACGCCTCATCCCCAAACTCTTCCCGCCTTATTGCACAGCTCCCAGCATCACATAATCCATCACGGTCCTTCCGCAACGTGCGGGCTCCTTTGGAAACATAACCGTAACGCCTGTCCCCCACTGAATAGTAACCTCTTAATACT